TTGGTCTACAGCCCGATGTTCCCGCGCTGCGCCCGCAAGTAGTTGTACGTCTTGAAGGCGACCGCGAGACGCGCGATCGAGTGGTCGAAGCGGTCGTCTCCGATCCCGTTGCCGTTGAACGCCATGCGCGTCAGGATGGAGCCCGATACTTGGCCTCTCGGCAAGCGCAGATGAGGCTGCATCCTCGGACAGGTCATGTAGTGGCTCATGTCGTCGACGCAATGGGCGCTCTCTCTCAGCGAGCACCCGAACAGGCAGGAGAGCTTGATAGGGGCACACGTGCACGCGGTGGCTCGTGGCCCAGGCGCCCGCCAACATTTCGAGGGTTGGTCACGGCAACGATGGCGGGGATCGGGCAAGATGACCACGAAGGACAACCCACCCCGCAGCCAGCGATTCTGGCCATTCGGCAAGACCGAAGAGTTCGCGTCGAAGGACATGAGCTTGGTCCCCGCGCGCATCCTCAGGATACCAGCGGCCCCCATCACGAGCGGGACCCTCACGTTCGAGCCAACGTCTACGAGCTCGGTGTCCTGCGGCTTCTTCTTCACGATCGCGCAGCGCAGCAGCTGATGGTTGGGGATTTGCATATTCATGCAGGCGACGAGCGCGCGGGCACTCCGGACGCTGCCACGCATACTCGCATATGTCCACTGCCACGTCACGGCGGGGGTTCAGGTTGCCGATGTGGTCGCCGCTGCAGAAATTGGCGTTGAATTGCGGTTTGCGCAGAACTGCTGTCACGTACGGGACGCACCACTCCATCCAGTCATTGCAGTTGTGGTAGCCAGCGCCCGTGAAGATAGACGGGGTCCATCTCTCCGCCCAAGCAGCAGTGCGCTCGTGCAGGTAGCTCATTGAGTTCGTGCTGACGCCGGCGGTGCTGGAAGTTGCTGGATGTTGGGTTGGTACAGACGGAGGCGGCATCTGGAACTGTCCGGGCTGCTGAGGTCAACGCTGAGGAGGAGGCGGCGGAAGTCCCAGAAGCGGATACCATGCTTGAAGACGCTTCAAGATCAAGATGCAACGGCCCTGCCGCGGCCGCACTGAGGTGGCCACCCCAGCAACCCGCGAAAATGGCGGCAGTTTCACACTTCGCAACCCCTCACAAATTGCGAGGTTCCGTTTGGGTTTGCGTGGGGCCCCACTGTGCTGACCATTCCCGCAGCCTTCGAACGTGGCGACAATTACATACTCCGCAATTACCCCAGGGACGGCGAAGTCCCGTTTGGGTCTGCGTGGGGCCCCAATATGATGGCCTTGCCCAAGAACCATCCATCCAAAGCGGCGACCAGTTTACCCTCCGCAGCCCCCCAGGGCTGCGGAGGGTAAACTGGTCGCGCCAGTCGGCAGCGACGCCTTCTGCCGCGAGCACACCCAGCAGCGAGTCGACAAGGCTACCGAGCTCCTCGAGGCCCTCGGCCCAGGTCGCGCTCCACTTGCTGCGACAATGTGCCGGATTCTGCAGACTCAGTTACTCGGCGCGGGTTGTCCCGCCCATAATGCAAACGGAGGCGCTGGTTGCCCTCGACAACGCAGTTCGCGCCAGCCTCGAGCAACTGACTAGCAGCTCCCCCACGGACGACTCCTGGGCGCAGGCGCAGCTCGCCCTCAAGGCAGGCGGCCTGGGGCTGCGCTCAGCAGAGCGCCGCGCGCCCGCCGCTTACCTTGCCTCCCGCGCAGCCTGCTCTGCGCTCTGCAGGCAGCTCTGGGCGGGCTACTCCGACGACGACACAGGCGCCGACGGCGCTCTGGGCGCGGCCGCGAGATCCTACAACGCCCGGCTCCCGCAGGCGGACAGGATTGAGTTCGACGCCAGCCAGCGCAGCGACCAACGGGGCCTCTCTGACAAACTGGACAAAGCCGCCAAGGCCGAACTTTGGGAGCGCGCCAGCCTCGCCACCAGGGTCCACCTCTCGCTGGTGAGCGCGGAGGGCGCCTGCGGCTGGCTGCAGGCGCGGCCCTGCGCCGAAGTCGGCACGGCGTCCCGCACGGATGCAGATCGCTCTGCAGAGGCGCTTGCGGGTGCAGTTAGCGAGCGAGGAGGCTTTCTGCCCGGCCTGCGACGGCGTCCTGGACGTCTACGGGGACCACGCGCTGGTGTGCCCCTGCCGCGGGGACCGCGTGAAGCGGCACAACGCCCTGCGCGACGAGACCTTCTTCGCCGCGCAGGCCGCCGGCTTCCCGGGCGCCGAGCTCGAGCGGGCGGGCCGGCTGCCGCCCCGCGAGCGAGGGGAGGGCCCGCCCAGGGCGGAGGCCAACGGCGGCGAGCTCGACGAGAGCGGCTGGCGCCAAGCGGACGTGTACGTCCCCCGCTGGCGCAACGGCGTCCCGGCAGCCCTTGACTTTGCGGTCACCTCCGGGCTGCGGAGCGACCCCCTTGCAGCCTCGGCAGCCGCGCCGGGCGCCGCCGCCGAGCGCTACGAGGAGCAGAAGCGCCAGTTCCTCGACACGGCGCGCAGCTGCAGCGCGGCCGGCGTCTCCTTCGTCCCCATGGCGATGGAGGCGCACGGCGGCGCGTGGGGCAAGGAGGCACGCCGCGCGTTAGCCGTCCTGGCGAAGCGCGCGGCGGACGCCACGGGGGAGGACCCCGCCATCGTGGCGGCGGAGCACGCCCGGCGACTCTCGCTACTCCTCCAGAAGGAGAGCGCGCGGGCCGTGCTCCGCAGGCTGCAAGGCCCCGGCAGGGCGCCTGCAGCCAGACTGGCAGCGGCCACGGCGGCTAGAGCGGCCGACGCTGCCTGAGCCGACCGCAACCACGACCACCCCCAGCGCCCCACCCCGGCAACCCCTTCCCTTTGACCCAGACCACGACCTCGACCACCCCCGACCGCGACCACGACCAGAAGACCACAACCGACGACCCCCAGGCCCACGACGACCCGCGACGACCCCCGACGGCCGCCGCCGCCCCCCGCCCGCCCCCAACGTGCGCGCTTGCCTGCTGCTGCCTTTGCCGCCCCCCGCTCTCTTGCATGTCGGCGTCGGCGCCTGCTCTCCATGTTTTTCCTCTCCCCCCTCGCCCCTCGTCCTCGTCCTGTTCCTCCTCCTCCTCCTCCTCCTCCTCCCCCTCCTCCGGCAGCGCGGCGTCTTCGCCTTGCGTTCGCCCGCCCGCGAAGGCGGCCAGGCGCGGCCAGCTGCGGTTTTTGTTCGTTCCATTTCGGTCTGGGTCAGGGGCTGCGGCTCGCAGGCCAGAGGGAGTTCAAGCACGCTAGACGATGGCCACATCCGTCGGAGCGTTTGCACCGCCCGCCGAGTGGCACCCCTGCCCCCCAGGGATGGCGAGGACCCCTTTGGGTTTGCGTGGGGCCCCACTGCACTGGTTCCCCCAAACAGCCCCCGAACAGGTGCGACACGTTTACAGTTCGCAGCCCACCAGAGGGATGCGAGAGGAGAGAATCGAGAAGAGAGCGGGGAAGGGGGGAGGAAAAGTACAAGGGAGGTGGCAAGCCTACTGCTCCATTCAAAACCAGAACCCAACCACGGGAAGGTTGGGAAACATCCGCGCTCGGTCAAAATACTACGCGACGTACCAAACCCATCGGCACCAAGTGATCATAGAAAGTGCGCCGACAATAGTGCGACAGCAACCGTGCAATAGCCTGTGCACGGCGGATGTTTATCTCGTGCGAAGTGTGCATGGACGAATCACAGAACAAATGTACAACAAGACATGGCATTATATTGGCAAGGAGAAGCAAAAGGAAGACATCGGGGTGGAAGAACACTCACCTCGGCAGAAGCAGCGAGAACATGGAGCATGGGCAAGATGAGGTTACATGGGCGGAGACGCAACCAGACAATGAAGTGTCGCGTTTTCCCATGCCGAATTGCTCAACATTTGCGCGGCCAGCGCTCAGCGGTGCTGCATGGCGAGGCCCCGTTTGGGTGTGTGGGGGACCCCACCGTGCTGCTTCCCCCCAGCAACCCTCGAACGCGGCGACAGCTTCACACTTCGCAGCCCCCCCAAGGATGGCGAGGTCCAATGCGGGTCCACGTGAGACCCCACTGTGCTGGCCCCCCCAGCAGCCCTCGAAAGACATCGCAGCCCCCAGAAGGGATGCGATAGGAGCCGAGAGGAGGGCGGGGGGTGCAAAAAATTGGCGACACCACTGCTCTATTCAAAACGAGAACCCAATCACGGGAAGGTTTGGATAAATTCCTCGCTGAACCGGAACAATTGCCACGCTCGACCGAAAAATGTGCCCAGGAACCCCCAGAGAATTCCCCCTTCGCCCGAACAAATTTCCCAATTCGACCGAGAAAAGACGTCTCGATCGGGACCGACTTTCCCGGTTCGCGGCTGGACTTCCTGGTTCGCCTTGTCATCTGCGTGTCACACTGTGTCCACGGCGAGTGGCGACAACGACGACGACAACGACGACGACGCCCGCGACGAGGACAACGACGACGATGACGACGGCGACGGCGACGACGACGACAACGACGACGACGATTACCCCCGCCCTGATTTGGAGAACGGCAAATGGAAGCAATGGGGGACGTCCCGACGCCTGGAAGCGAACACATACTATTCCACATAGTTCGTCCTACATCCTCCTGCTGCGATCCTTACCTGCTGAACCAGGAGCAAAGAATGGAGAAGTAGAAAAACGAGACGGATAGAGGATGAGGCTGAGCGTGGGGATGAGGATGAGGAGGAACAGGAAGGGGGGAGGAGGAGGGAAAGGAGGAAAAACATGGAGGAGGAGGAGACGGAGACAAGAGTAGGCAGGAGGAGGAAGAGAACACTGCAGGAGGATGCAGGAGGAACACGGCAAGAGGATAGGCAGGAGAAAACAGAAGAAAGACCAGAGGGCAAATGCAGAAGGAAGCCGGAAGAGGATGACACAGAAGCAGGAGATGGAGCAGTAGCAACAGGACAGTAATGAAGGAAAGTGCAGGAGGCAGAAGATGAGGCAGGAAGAGAAAAACACGGGGCATATGCATGAGAGCTAGGTCGGACGAGCCCACAAAACTCGCAAAGAAGATCCACCCGGTCAAAGTCGCACAGGTGGGATCGCCCGAACGAGTTCAGTCGCAGCTTTGCCGAAGCCGTTTCGCTCGTTCGAATTCGCCTCGCGGGGTTCGACTGGTCGCTTTCGCCTGGTCGCATTCGCCCGTTCGCCTTCGTCCAGTCGTGTTCGCCCTGTCGAGTTCGCCCGGTCGGTTTCGCCCAGGTTGCGTTCGCACAGTCGCGCTCGCCCTGTCGCGCTCGCCCTGTCGGTTTCGCCCGATCGGTTTCGTGGTCGGTTTCGCCCGGTCCGTTTCATCCAGTCGTGTTCGCCCTGTCGCGTTCGCCCTGTCGCGTTCGCTCGGTCGAGTTTCGTCCGATCCGTTATGCCTGGTCCGTTTCGCCCGGTCTCGTTCGACCAATCCTACTGGCCCAGTCGCCTCCTGGTGTAATTCCGCGGCGATTTCACTGAAGCCGTTTCGCCCGGACGGCTTCGCCAGGTCAATTTCGCCTGGGCCAGTTTCGCCCAGTGATTGTTTCGCCCGGAGAAGTTTTCGCCTGGGACGTCCCGTCCTCCGCGGGCGACACCGTCGCCGGCGGGGGACGGGCAAAACCCGCGCCTTCCGCCAGACCCCACCGCAGCCGCAGCGCGTCGCGCCGCGCAGGCTGGGGCTGCGCCGCGGCCTTGGCGTGAAGCCGCTCGAAGCACGACTCGCCTCGGCGTGCGGGGGTCGGCCAGGCGGCCGCCGCGTTGGGGCGCGTCACGCGGCGCCACCGCGGGCGCACTCCGAGGACGACGACGACGACGACGGCGGCGGCAGCGGCGGCGGCGACGACGACGACGACGATGACGACGACGTCGGCGACGACGGCGACCACGACGGCGACGACGGCGACTACGACGGCGACGACGACGGCGACGACGACGGCGGCGGCAGCAGCAGACACCACTTTGCGCGACGCAGCCTGCCGCCGCGCCTCCTCCTGGGGTCCCCCAGGGCCTCTCTGAGGTTTCGCGCCGCGTTTCAATCCGATCGCTGGGGCTCTCGGGATGGGGTAGAGAAGGACATTAAAGAGGAGGCAAACAGAGGGGAAGAAGAATGAGGAGAGCTCAAGAGAGCGTGGAGAGAGAGAGAGAGAGGACAAACAAAAAAGAGAAAGGGGAGGAGGGGGAGAAGGGGGAGAGGGGGGAGGGGGAGGCGGAGGAGGAGGATTCTACAGAATTCGATCGGCCAAACCCCCAAAGATTCGTAGCACGAGTGGCGGCGGCGAGAACGACCGCCACTACCCCCAGGCCTGTCCTAGACGACCAGGTTTGATGTTCAGAATTGTATGTGGTAACGCGACATCCAGCTACATCTTTCCCGCGCCGTTTCTCTCACGTGGCGCCGAGGACCCAGCCGTGGTGACGAGGAGCGACGAGAGGGAGGATGGGCACCCCCAGGTGGTTGGCCCATCTGTCGAGCCACGCCCTTCGGCAGCGTGGCCCTCTGCGGCGGCCTGCTGCGCGCACGGAGGCACGCCGCCGCATGCTGCCCTCCGTGGGACACCATGCCGTTTCGCACCAGCGGATCCCCGCGTTGCTGCTGATGACGTTTGCACGTGCGCTTCCTCCTGTACGCAGTGCCAGCGCCGTGGCCATTGCTTGCTCTTCTCGCATTGCCAGTTGCCGCTGCCACTGCCTGTCTGCGCTCACGAACCGCTCCCAGCACTGGCACTGATGGTGTCCGCTCCTGCACGTGCCACCGCCTCGCACTGCCAGGGCCTGCCGTGCAAGCCCTGCGCCCAGTGCCAGTTCGCGCGAGGGCGGATCCCAGCGTTGTAGCTGATGCCTGCTTGCCTTCTCGCACGAGATGACCCCAACAGCTGTGCAGCTGATCTGAAGTGTTCTTGGGGCGCTGGCCGGCACCAGCGACCGCTGCTGCCACTGCCTGCCTTCTCGCACTGGCACCCACAGCCGCTGCTGACACTGCCTGCCTTCTCGCGCCGACAGGCCCTGCTGCCGCTTGCCGTCTCGCACGAGTTGACCATCGCAGCAATGTAGCTGGAGATGTGCCTGCCCTTTCGCTCCGAAGGAATCTGCTGCTGATGCCTGCCTTCTCGCACCAGCTGACCCCCGCCGCAATGTAGCTGACGATATTACTCCTGCGTGGCTATTTGGCGCTGGTAGCGCCTACTGCCACCGCCCGCCTTCTCGCACAGGCCGACCCTCACTGTAATGTAGCTGAAGATGCGGCTCCTGCGTGGCCATCCGGAAACGGCGGCCGCTGCTGCCACTGCCTGCTTTCACAATCTCTTACGGAAAATCCCTGCTGCCACTGCTTCTCGCAGGAGCCACTCCCACCCTTGTCGCCGATGGCAAAACTGATCTCGGCTGGCCCCTGCGTGCTTGCCAGCACGCAAGGCCGCTCACAGCACTGCAGCTGATGACGCTGCTGATCTTGGCCTGACCCTGCTCGCCTGCTCTCGCAGGCGCCTCCCCCAACATGGTAGCTGTTGATGCATTGCTCCAATTTCCTCAACTTGCCTGCGCTCTAGCAGCGGCGCCGCAATTGGCGCCACTGCTCGCCAAGAAGTGAGGGAGGGGTGGGAGGAGGGGAGAAAAGAGAGGAGGGACGGTGCCGTACCTCCTGGAGGGTGCGCACGCGCCTGACCTCAGCATTGTAGCTGATGAACTGATGACGTGGGGCGCCACGCTTCTTGGTGTCAGCTCTCGCGAACAAGGCCATTTCGAAGCTTGCCCGCGAAACTCCCTTGCGCTACCCGTGCGGGCGGGGGGGGGGGAACTCGAGCACGAAATGGCTGAAGAGGAGGAGGAGGTGGCTGAGGAGGAGGGAGGAGGAGGAGGGAGGAGGAGGAGGAGGGAGGAGGGAGGAGGAGGAGGAGGAGCAGGACAGAGGATGGGACAAGATAGGTGCGCTCGCGCCATATCTGACATCCTACCCCTCCCACTCGTCTCGTACCATTGCTATGGTTGTGTTGCTCGATCCGCCGACGCGAGTCGTAGCGGACCTGGAACTCCAGAAAGGACCTCATCGTGTTATGCGCGATCGGGAAAGGGAGCTGCGTATATTGGAGGAGGTGGCTAATCAGCGGGAGGCTGAGTAAGAGAAAAAGGAGGAGGAGGATGAGACAGGAGGAGGACGAGGACGAACAGCTGCAGCGTGAGCTGGAGTGGAAGGAGCGCGAGGAGCAGGCGGACCAGAAGGCAGAGGGAAAATAAGGGGGTCGACAGCGATGGAAGCAGGATCCAGAAAAGTGTCCCTTGCTGGGGAAAGAACGCCATTCTGAACGACGGGGGCAAAACGCAGATCCGAAATGAGGCCCGCGCTGCAGCTGGAGCATCATGTTCTAACACAGAAGCCAAACAACTTGCGCCACAAACAAAAAACATAACATGTGTCCAATCCGGTGGGAAAACAACAATACTCGGAGAGCGCGGAACATCTTTTGGACAAAGTCAGGGGAGAGACCAGAGTCATGTTCATTGAATAAGTAATTGTAATAAGGGGGAGGGGAAGACATGGCAGAATAATGTTGATGCTGATGCCGAAAATTCGCCGGCCCAACGGCGGACCAGAAGCGTGCTAAGATCTCTGGTGACTGCTGTACAATATTTCTACCTCGCGAGCGCGGGGCGGCCCCTGGGGGTCCCCGGACGAAAAGTACCACTGCCGATCCCTTCCCAGAGATTGCTTTCCTCCTGGCCGCCGCCCTCGACGCCCTCCGGAGAGCCCCAAGATGAGCTAAGAAGTCCCCAAGACGCCACCAAGATAGGACTTGAGGGCTCCGATATGCCAAAAGATCGCTCCACCATGGCCTCCAGACGCCCTCAAAGGCCTTCAAAAGCACTCCCAAGCCCCAAGAGGCAAAAACATGTTTTCTCAGGTTTCGGACACATTTTCGGGTTTCTCCTTTTTCGGCTTCCCGACGCTCCAAGATGGCCCAAGAGGCTCCCAAGATCGCCCCAAGAGGGCCCAAGAGGACCCCAAGACAGCCCCAAGACGGCCCAAGATGGCCCCAGGACAACCCGAGAGGCGCCCAAGACGGCCCAAGAGAGCCCCAAAACGGCCCCAAGAGGGGCCCAAGAAGGTGACCAGGAACCGGAAAGTCCAGCCTTCAGCCCCAAGAGGCCCCCAGGAGGCCCCAAGAAGCCCCCCAAAGGCCCCAAGGGGCCCCCGAGAGGCCCCAACACGGCCCCAAGAGGCTTCAAAACTGCCTCCCAAAGGCCCCTGAGAGGCCAACCACGATAGCCCAACCAACATCCGTGAGGCCTCTGACCCGCCACCCACCGCCTCCGAAAAATGGCAGCCGCCCGACCGCACCGCATTGACAACAACACCCCGACAAACGACAGCGGCGAGGCAATATGGGCCGGCGGAATGAGAGAAGCCATTAAAATCTGACAATGGTGGAGGGTTGGTGGAGGAGGAACGATACCGAATGAGTTCGGGCCTACGGCGCGGAAGCGTGACCAGTAGCCGATGGCGGCCTGCACTGCTGCCAGTATTGTGTACTGAGATGTGGGTGTGGTGGGAACGTTCCCTCGGGCATCATACTCTGCCTTGAGTTCGTCGCAGATGTTTAATGCTAAGACATTAGCCTGATGCAAACCTGCACGTGGAACCTCCAGATCTGGGTCGGATTATATCCCCAATCCGAGGTGAGTAGTCGGGGAGGCGGGCAAGTGATCACGAGGGAGAGCAAGAAGGTGAAGCAGGCGAGGTTGTTGGTGGAGGAGGAGGAGCAGGAAAGGGAAAGGAGTGGGATGTGAATGAATAGCGTGGAGCGGCGCGGGAGTAGCCTAGCGGGAGGGTGGCGGTGGAAGCAGGGGAGTCGCGTGGCAATGAAAGGAGCCAGGCAGGATGAGTGATACAGGGCATCGCACAACAAAAACAAGACGGGGGGCGGTGAGTGCGGGGTAGAGTTTGTTAAGAACCAATCGCCAAGTGACCCGTATGCAAATTTCACGCATAGCCCAACCACCTCTTCTTCCTCCTCCTTGTCCTGGTCACAATCTTCCTTCTGCGCCTTCCCCTGCTCCCTCCCAACTCCTCCACTTCCTTCCGTTGCTCCTCCGACTCCTCCCACTCATATGTCTCCTCATCCTGCCCCGTCCTGCCCCCTCCTGCTTCCAATCATCCTCCATGACCTCCCCTCCTAATGCCCATCATCCTCCACCTCCTCCACGGCTCCTGCTCCCCCCCGGTATCTCCTAAATCCTTCTTTTTTCCTGCTGGGCCATCCTCCTCCCTCACCCAATTTCCACCTCCCTCCTCGTAATTCCTCCTCCCTGGTCCTCTCTCCTCCTTCATCCAACCTTCCTCGTGCCACCGTCTCTGTCATAACTCCTCCCTCTGGCCAGCCGGTCCGCCAACCACGCTAGCAGGCGCCGTGCCGGTACTCCGCTAAGCCGCGCGCAGAAGCAATCACCGCACTCGGGGCAGAAGCAGGTGGCCGTGTTGCCACACTCGATGCAGTACAGCTGGCCCGTTCTCCCTGCCGATCCCAGCCGAGGGGGGGAGGAAATAACGCGTCTGCAAAGCGGAGAAGGCATTGCATCGACAAGCGATTCGGGAGTTTGCCGGCCAAACGGGGCAAAGGCGCGTGAAGATCTCCAGTACGAGGTTCAGAATGGTTGTACATTGCTCATTCGCGGAACGGACCCTGTGAGTCCCAGAAGAAAAATACCCCAGACAAGCCCCAGGAACTCGGGTCAGATATTGTTTGTCCCAACCATCCTGTGGTGTTGTGTCCTCGTTTTGAAGAGACAGCGCCCCGCGTCCTCACTCCTCCCGCTGCCCTCCTCCCTTCTCCCATTCTCCCCCTCCTCCTCTCCTCCCCCACTTTGGCACACCCCTCACACGTTTTGTGGCCCCATAGGGAGCTCCACCACAGGCCCAGATGCCAGCGCTCGCATGCGCCCACCGCGCTCATTTTGGCACACCCCTCACACGTTTTGTGGCCCCATAGGGAGCTCCACCATAGGCCCAGATGCCAGCGCTCGCATGCGCCCACCGCGCTCATTTTGGCACACCCCTCACACGTTTTGTGGCCCCATAGGGAGCTCCACCACAGGCCCAGATGCCAGCGCTCGCATGCGCCCATCGCACCTATTTTTGGCACACCCATCACACGCTTGGTGGCCCCATAGGGAGCTCCACCGAAGGCCCAGATGCCAGCGCTCGCATGCGCCCACCGCCCTCATTTTGGCACACCCCTCACACGTTTTGTGGCCCCATAGGGAGCTCCACCGCAAGCCCAGATGCCAGCGCTCGCATGCGCCCACCGCGCTCATTTTGATACACCCCTCACACGTTTTGGGGCCCCATTGGGAGCTCCACCACAGGCCCAGATGCCAGCGCTCGCATGCGCTCACCGCACCCATTTTGGCACGCCCCTCACACGTTTTGCGGCCCCATAGGGAGCTCCACCACAGGCCCAGATGCCAGCGCTCGCATGCGCCCACCGCGCCAATTTTGGGACACCCCTGTGTTGTTTCTTGGCCCCAGAGGGAGCTCCACCGAAGGCCCAGATGCCAGCGTTCGTATGCGCCCACCGCACTCATTTTGGCACACCCCTCACACGTTTTGTGGCCCCATAGGGAGCTCCACAACAGGCCCAGATGCCAGCGCTCGCATGCGCCCACCGCACCAATTTTGACACACCCCTCACACGTTTTGGGGCCCCATAGGGAGCTCCACCACAGGCCCAGATGCCAGCGCTCGCATGTGCCCACCGCACCCTTTTTTTGCACACCCTTCACACGCTTGGTGGCCCCAAACGGAACTCCACCGAATGCGGCGCATATAACGGCAGCACCCAAAACTGCACATGGTTGGGTCTTTCGCCAGGCTAATTATCCTGGGTGCGGCCCTCAGGACCTTCAGGACAGCCCCAAGATCGCCCCAAGGAAGCTCCAAGAGACCCCAAGAGCGGCCCAGGAACGGGAATCACTGGGTGTCAAGCCCTGCCTGCCTGGGTCCAGCTGCTCGGCGGGGTCGACCTCGTGAGGTATCTGCTTGGCCACCTGGTCCTCCGCAGGGCACAAGGATGGCACGAACACGCAAGGCGGAAATGATCAGTGTCTTCCATTTTTGGGGAATGCACCCGCAGCCCAGCACCACGATCACGAGGCGTCCTACAGGAAGGCGTGCGCGCAGCCTCCGCCAGCGAGCATCGCAGGGGTGGCTAGACAAGACCCTTCTTCTGGCCACGACCCAACGATCATGTGCACTTGCGTACGCCTTCGCACGCACGCATGTGCCTCCACGTGGTGGTGCCGTTCATGCTGCTCACGCTCATCTCTTACTGTTGGGTCAGGGGGAGGGTGAGGAGAAGCCAACATCAGAGTGAGGGAGCCGAACGGTCATTCACTGTCCCTGGGTGCGTGGCTGAAGTGGAATTCCGCGGTGCGGATTCGTGTTGTTGTTTGTTGTTGTTTGTTGTTGTTTGTTGTCGTCGTCCCACCCGCAACCCGCCCCGCGACCCACCCGCGACCCACCCCGCGACCCACCCCGCGACCCACCCGCGACCCACCCGCGACCCACCCGCGACCCACCCCGCGACCCACCCCGCGACCCACCCCGCGACCCACCCCGCGACCCACCCCGCGACCCACCCCGCGACCCGCCCGCGGCCCACCCCGCGACCCACCCGCGACCCACCCGCGACCCACCCGCGACCCACCCGCGACCCACCCGCGACCCACCCCGCGACCCACCCGCGACCCACCTTCGACCCAAACCACGTTCAAGGTACAAACCACCATTTCCGGCGCCTGCGGCGTTTTTTTGCATTCCTTCCAGGTGGAGAGCCCGCGACCCACCCCGTGACCAACTTGCGACCAACCCGCGACCCAAACCACGCTCAGGGTACAAACCACATTTTTCGGCGCCTGCGGCGGGCATCTTTTGCAGTCGTTTCAAGTGGAGTGCCCGCGGCCCACCCGCGACCACGTTCAGGGTACAAACCAATTTTTCGGCGCCTGCGGCGGGCATCTTTTGCATTCGCTCCCGGTGGAGAACCCGCGGCCCACCCGCGACCCACACCACGTTCAGTGTACAAACCAAATTTTTTGGCGCCTGCGGCGGGCTGCTTTTGCATTCCTTCCAGGTGGAGGTGGAGAGCCCGCGACCCACCCGCGACCCAAACCACGTTCACTGAACAAACCAATGCCGAGGGGGAGGAGGGGAAGGAGGAGGAGGAGGGGGAGGAGGGGGAGGAGGAGGACGAGGAGGGGGAGGAGGATGATGATGGACGACAATGGGAGGACGATGATGGAGGCCGATGAGGGGGAGGACGACAATGGGAGGACGATGATGAAAGGACGAGGGGGGGAGAGGGAGGACGAGGAAAAAGAGGAGGAGGAGGACGAGGTGGAGGAGGAGGACGATGACGATGAGTACGAGGACGAGGACGAGGAGGAGGAGGAGGAGGAGGAGGAGGAGGAGAGCGCCATCGACAGGGAAGGTGGGGGCCACGAGGTCCGCCGGCTCGACGACGCCCGCGTCGCCCGCGCCCGCCCCCTCACTCTTATCCGCAATTGCGGGGTGCTACGTAATACGTACAGAGGGGAATTCATCAATTCGTTCTCTGTGGACGTCGCCACGGAGGTAATCGATTTTGTCGCCGTGGACGTCGCCACGGAGATTGATTTATTAGACTGCGAAGGTGGGTGAGGAGAAGACCAAGACGAAGTTTTCTTCGAGTGCAGGTTCGAAATGGCGCTGGAGGCCCGTTTCGTGGGCCGCGGGCGCCACTCCTTGGGCAGGCGGCCCAGGTACATGGGCCGCTTCCAACATCTCATGATCAGATCGCTCGCCATGCGCAGCGGAGGCGCCGGGGCAAGAGGCGCTCCAAGGTCGTTAATTGTTAATGGCATGACCCGTCTTCATCAAGCGCGTCCTCAAGATCAAGGCGTCGCGGGAGCTGTGGGGGCCCGGAGGCAGCGCTGTGGGAGGAGAGCTACGGCAGCACCGCGGACTCTGGCACCAGCCACATGCAGGGGACAACGACGACCACCACGTCGTCTACGACAGAGACCCCGTCAGCTACGCTGACGTGGGAGGGGGGGCTCCGGGCAGAGGTACCTCGTCCAGCACGGCGGGGTCATGCAACTCAACTACAATGCCTGCAGCGACGTCCTGTGGGTGCTGGCGGACTTGGTGGGCAAGGTAATTCACAAGTCCATCCAGGAGAGGACCGCGCCGCCACACAGGCCACGGCGATCTTTTCTCTGATGATGTTTTTAGGATACGGGGGCTGCTGGTACAGAGTTATTGGCAATACCCTAAACTACGAGGCGCAGGACACCCACTGGACGAGATGGGCAAGTTCCTCCAGGCTCTGAGTGGCCAGATGGAGAACTTCTCCAAAGAGAGCGGCACGAGATCAGGAACACCTCCGGCGGGACCGAAGAGGAGGTGGAGGACCCGCCGCCAGCAGCACAAGCAGGAAAACCTGGACGAATTCATCGGCAGGCTCCGCAAGTTACCGGACGATGCGGCTGCGGGAAGTGGAAAATCGGAAAATCGCGAGGCTGTTCAAGGGGCAAGATGAAAGTCTCGCGCAGGCTCGGAAGCAGCACGCCCAGCCACCCGGGGCCCAGCTGCGACAGGAGGAGGCAGGAGGAGAAAAGGTAGCAGGCAAAGGAAGAGAAGGCGGCGACGGCCGCCGGCAACTCACCCCAACGCGCGGCGGGGCCGATGGTCAGGAGGAAGAGGAGGAGGAGGAGGAGGAGACGACAAAAACGGAACCGAGGAACGACCCAAGGACGAGGACGTGTCGCCCAAACTCCGCAAGGCAGTGCGGCGAAACGGCCAGGTTCTCGGAATGCGGGCGTTCGAAGACGTCCTGGAGCAGAATGACAAGACTGAAGCCTTGGGGATGATCAAGGCCGTGGTCTCCTCAGTGCGTGAAGTCTCCCAGGTGCTTGACTTGGCCGACGCGTACGCGCTGACGAACAAGTTTGGCATCGTGTTCAACGAAAGGCAAGGGAGTGATCTCCCGACCACCACGACCAGCGCCTGGCTCCGAGACGAAGCCGCTGGGGGACGAGCAGACATGATGGTCAGCCTGAACGTGTTGGCTATCAACTGCAAGGGTTTCCCTCCCGAGCTGGCCGGCGCCACGGTCAAGGAGGCCAAGGGGGTCAAAGCAGCGGAAGAGGTAGAGAACGACATCGCGGCATGGCCCCAAAGGCTTGGACATCGTTTTCGGTTATGACCCTGCGCTCGCTCTGGGATGCCGGGTGCCATCATCAGGGCGTGCGGCCATCGCACGCTCGAGGCGGGTGTCGAGGAAGATGAATAATTAGTTGACAGGTGCATCCGGTTACGATGTAAAGAATGTGGAGTTACGCTTGGACCTCCCTTATGACGTCTTCGTTAGCAGAGGGTCCATAAGGAGTCCTCGGTTCCCTCTGGAGCATGAGCGGCAGAAAGTGAAAAAGTGGTGGGGACCCATACGGCCGCATGAGCGACGTGGAACCTAATCGGAATCACGGCGCGGGCAATAGAGATGATCCCGTGTTGGTGGGGCCCCGTTAGCACCGCACGCACTCACGGAGCCTGTTGGAACTGTGGGTGCCTTGAGTACCCCTGGGGCGCCCAATGAGCATGTGACTGCCATGGAGCCTGACGGAACCATGGAATTCGCGTGTCAACGCTGGCGAACGTCGACGCCGTCCGCGATCCACCCGGCCCTGCAAATGTGAGTCCTGATGCCAGCAAGCCTGTGATGAAGGAAAAGAACAATTTGGCCCCGAAGGGAGGGGAGGGGGGCACGAGGAGAGGGAGGGGAAGGGTCGGCGGTCCGAGGCCAGACGGCGATGGGGAAGAGGCAGAGGTCCAGGGGGTACGGTGAGGCACGAAGTACGCAATACCCCCCAGAGGCGCGTGAAGGTTTCCGCCCGCGACGCTTTCCAGGACGCCCGCATCTCATGAAAACCCTCGACAGGGGGGAGGAAAAGGACCAACCAGTGGAAGGAGAATGAGGTGGGACGGCAGCAGAGGCAGACGAGAGCAGAAGCGGAGAAAGGGAGAGAAAAAGTGAGTGATGGAGCCAGAGCTGGCCGAGGCTTGCCGGCTGATGCCTACCGGCCCATCAGTATCTCGAGCTGCTGGTACATAGTCTCTGGACAACAGCACGGATGCGGTCATTGGACTGCACGGCTTGGCAGCAGAAATGGCGGCCCCGCTGGGCGTACGGCGCGAAGAGGGGCGCCTGTGCACGACGCGGCGGCGGCTGTCGCAGTCGCTCTGGAAAACGGTGAGCACGCCACCACGTGGGACTACCCCCTGGCGTTCGACAAGGTGCTGTCGGAGGGCCTCGTGCAAGCCATGCGCCAGGCAGGCTTGCCGGAGGGCATAGCACGCATGCTGCTGGCAGAGTGGGAGCATCAGCGCCAGATCTTGCAGCTGGCTGGGGCCACGCATACAGAGGTGCAGTGCGTCGGGACATCGTTGCCTCAAGGGGACCCTTGATCGCCGCTCGCCTTCACTGCTATGCTCGACGGCCCAATGGCACAGGTGGCGGTGAAGGAGCCTCAGGTTTGCACCACGCTGTTTGTCGACGACAAGACGTGGACAGGGCCCCTGCAGCCGATCTTCTTTAAGACTGGCAACATCTGGAAGGAGTGGTCTGAAGCGCTGGGCATGGAAGAGAACGTGCGCAAGCAGGTCTGGGGGCACACGACCCGCGGGCCGGCGCGCGCTTGCCACGTATGGCACCCCGGCGGAGAGGGTGCAAGACAAGCTGGAGGTCCACGGCATGAAGCTGCCTGGGGGCTGCTGCAGGAAGCAGTGCAAGAAGGAGGTGGCGCGGATCACCAGGGCCGATCAGCAGCTGGCCCGCACCGCACTGCTGCCGCTGGCCCTCGAAGGGCGGCTGGGGCGGCATCCTGAGCCAGTCCGTGCAGGAGCCCTGTACTTGGGCGCACCCGGGCATCGGGGAGACCATCCCCCTGCGGCAGGGGCACCCTGCTTGGCAGACCTCGGAAGGACTGGCTCACTCGCGCCGACATCTCCGTGCTGCTTGGCATCGCGGGCGCCGCCGCGATGCAGCGGAGTGTGCTGGCACCCCGTACGACCCCAGCAGGCACAAGAAGGTGCTGGAGATGATCCAGGAGGTACCTGGCTTCTTCCGCGTGGCCGCGGGCGTGACGTACTCGCCCAAGGCCCTGCACAAAAGGGACGCTGCTGCGGGCGTGCCCGTGGTGCAGGAGATCACCTGGAAAATGGAGTCACATTTGTGCGCAATGCCGCAGCCATCGGTGGGCGGCCAAGCCGCGTGTGGCGCCGTTGGATACTCTTCAGGGCAAGCTAGGATGGCCGACGTCTGCCGGGGGCGAAACAAGAAGGACCTTCAGCTCGCACGCTGGGTTGTAAAGGTCGACAGGGCCATCCGCGAGGATTGGCCTAGCACAACTGAGTTTCCTCATCTTCAACCTTTGGTATGGTTTTTGGGGAGGCGGTGGAGGAGGGAGAAATTGCGGAGGTTGAGGTCAACTCCAGGCGCCTGCCCCGCAGCCCACCGCCCCTGCGCGGACAGCCAGGAGGAGCGAGGAGGCCAGTAGCGCGCCATCCTCGTGCGCAGCCGGTGCCACCTCGCCCGTGCTGTTCAACCTAGCGCAACACTACGATTTCAAACTCAGCGAGTTGCCACGCACCCTACACATCCAACTAGAAAGCGTCCTGCTCGCACGCCACAGCGAGCTACAGCGCAGCCCGTTGCTGTTCAATATATATATATATATGTATATATATATATATATATATATATTCCTCTTCCTATATTTTTATAAGCCCGGGCGGGGGGGAAACCCGTCACCCCCCCCCCCTTAAACCGGACCCCCGGGATCTGCAACTTTGGGACCTTCCGGACGGGCCTCGAAGCGCAGGGCGTTTTGCCAAGCCTTCGCAGCACAACCAGGGCGATCAGGGGGGTCACCGGAGACGTCCAAGAGACCCCCAAGACAACACAAGAGCGCTCCAAGAAGCCGTCATACCCCGAAAGATCGCTCCAAAACGTACCCAGAGGCCTCCAAGAGCTCCCCCAACAAGGCCCCAACAGGAAATAATCATTGATTCTATGTAGGTTTTTTGTGCATTTGGGGTTCTCCTCTTTTCGGCTTCCCGACGCTCCAAGACGGCGGTCTCCTAGGCGTCCGAAGCCGCCTGGGAGGCTCCCAAATCGCCCAACAACCATCCGAAAGGGCTTCCAGGCAATCCAGGAAACCCCAAAGCGGCACAACAGGGGCCCAAAATGGCCCTAAGAGAGCACCATGGCGGCCCAAGATGGCCCCAAGACACCCTCCGAAGCATTCCAAATCGTGACTGGGGCGTTCAGGGAGATCGCGATTAGAGACAGGTTGTCCTTAGGAAGGCCCAGAGGCCCCCAGAACACACCTAGGAGGCCTCCAGAAGGCTTGCTTTAAGAAAGCCTGAGAACTTTGGTGAGACCCCCCGGAGGCTCTCCAAGGAGGAGCCTCCGCAAAAAGGGCTTTATATCAGTGTCCGCGACTCCCTCTGCCTGGACAGCTTTGTGCTGTAGAATCAATATCGTCGCGCTGTCAGGCGCTTCGGCTGCTTATTTCGTGCTGCGGTTTCTCGGATTGCACTGCATTCCTCTGGCGGTGTCTAGACATGGTTGATGGACATCCTGCCGTTCCATGAATGTGCAATCGAGCAGCGCTTCGTCTATCATCCTCGCCTTCTGCCTTGTCGATCTTCGAGAGGTCTTTTGTCGCCATGGGCACAACGACTCCGTTCATCGCAGTGCACGAACCCACCGAACATCAGCGAGCAATCGAGGAAAAGCTCGGGC